TATCCCCAGGTAAACAAACATTTCCATAAGTTTTCCATTAAATGGACAGAGTAACAAGGTAAAGTCTAAAACACCATTATAGAGCATGAGCCAATCAGCACTCAGATGTCACTGATAGTTTTGCAGAAACTTCCCTCCATCCCCTGGTCACCCGACAGCTTGAGAGGACCAGAATCTGGAAAATGGCAAATGGAGGGGATTGTGTACAGCTGAACAGAAAGGGGCTCTGAGCCACACTGTTGGCGACAGGTTATGTAGGCAAACTCACAGAGGCAGCATGGCTTTTTAAGACTACAGTGGGGTGGACAGGGGGCAGTCAGGGGGCAGACAGGGGGCAGTCAGGGGGCAGTCAGAAGACAGGGCACGAGGCTGTGGGTATGTACATCAACCCCGCGGTGGGGAGAGGAGCTGTAATGACTACATCCATCACACAGATGGCCTGACATCCCATCACACAATCAAAAGCCCATCTTCATCTGTTCTTCCTTCCCCGTCCCCCCATCAGCAGCTTCATCCTCAAGTCTCACTCTCTTGTGGCTGTGCACCGTGGGTCACCTGCTTCAGGGTCAAAGGTCACGGCTGCCACCCATATATGCCTCTGCTGATACAGATGCCACTGTCCCTCCCAAGCTCTAGTTACCTGTCTTAAAATTGACACCTGTGGGAAATAAGCCCATGGTGGGGGGGTGGCAAATCAGTCCTGGGTCTGGTACACCTCCCATCCTGCCAGGCAAGGTGCATTTCGATCTTCTTGTCGAGGACAGCAAACCAGGGATGCCACAATTATCTGTGAAGTTCCCTCTAATAGGTCAGGGGATGACATGGACACAGACCCAGAAGAGCTGTTCTTAGGATGTGCCAGGATCTGGGAGAGCCAGTCCTGGGACGACTAGGACCCGAGAGAGCCATTCCTGGGATGGAGTAGGACCTGGGAGAACTGTTCCTGGGACACACGAGGATCCAGAAGAGCAATTTCTGGGACATGTGAGGACCTGACAGGTCCATACTTTGAACAGATATAAACCCAGGGGAGCCAATCTTGGGACATACCTGGGACACGTAAGGACCCGGGAGAGCCATTCCTTGGATAGATGAGGACTCTTTAGAACCATTCCTGGGACATGCAATGAATCGGGAGAGCTGTTCCTGAAACATGTAAACAACCAAGGGACAACGAAGTTGCCGCATTATTGCCACAAGTTGGGCATTATTGGGATACTGGAACAGCCATTCCTTGGACAGAAGAGGACCCAGGAGAGCCATTCCTGGGATGTAAGAACCCAGGAGTCACTCCTGGGATGGACAAGGACCCAGGAAAGCTGGGAATAGATGAGGACCCAAGAGAACCATTCTTGGGACATGTGAGGACCCAGGGGACCTGCTCCTGAAGCACTCAAGGAACCAGGAGAGCCATGCCTGGGACACGTGTGGATGCAGGAGAGCCATTCCTGGGATGGGCAAGGACCCAGGAGAGCCATGCCTGGGACACATGTGGATGCAGGAGAGCCATTCCTGGGATGGGCAAGGACCCAGGAGAGCCAGGAGAGACAAACAAGCACTGCTCCTTGCACTGATAACATTCATCTGCTCAGTGCTGCGAGAGGAGGTGGAGAAGATGAAGACCTTAATGTTTCTGCACAAAGACAAAGACTAACATACTAATTGAACGACATCCCGCCAGCCAAAGCATCCATAAAGACAGCACCACATTGTGAGGAGAGGGGTTTTATCCCTGTGATTCCTATGTTTGAATGAAGCATGGTGTCGTTGCTGTGGTAACAAGGTCCACTTGTGCAGGGCCTGCTAGGTAATAACATTCCAGCTTCATCTTTGTCTTAGGAATTGGCTTCACATGAAGGCAACTTCTCGATCCATTTCCACTCACGGCTGTTGGTCTTACTGGTGCTGTCATGGGAACAGCACGCACTGACCAGCTTGAGGTTCTGCCTGAAGAAAGCAGCACATGTGTGAAATCCTCTTCCTCAGTCCTACGTGGAAAAGCACACAGTACTATACAGACAGCCCTGAATGTGGGATGGTGAGACAGGAGATCCTAGTAGCCATCAGGACTTAATTTCACACATTATCTGTTACTAGTGTCCTTCTGCATAAATGATGGAAGAATGTATCAAAAAAAGGCACTATATAAAAATGAATAGAATCCTGCCTGGGCTGACCATGTAAGCTCTGCATTATACGATTTGGGGGGGGGGTTGATGACTGTAATTGCTTGACTGATCTATCTAGGGCAACTTTCCTTGCTTAACTACTGAACTGACTTGCTTCCCATTTACGCAACAGATCAGATTGAATCAGAAATGAGCTTGGGGGCTAAAATAGAAAACTACATAAATAAGCCTAACAACTCAAGAGGAGAGATCCAAGCATCAAATGCAGCCACCTTAATTTCACTTGGTATTCCGAGAGCCATCAACAGCTCTGCAGGAAGTGTTCTGACCCCGATGTGAGGACACAGCCCACACAGGCGGTACCGCTCTCCTGGGAACACTGGAGCAGGGTCAGAAGAGGCAGGCTGGTTCCCCATCAGATTCAGGGGAACAAATACATCCGTCTCTTTACCAGATGTCCTCTATCCGGTCCTAGTCACCCTAGGATCACAGCCAGATGGCACTTCGGGGAGCAGCCAGAGACATATGATGGACTGACCAGGCCAAACGCTCGGTTAGTTTAAATCCACAATGATGAACACAAACATAAAATCAGCTGCATGCTGTTTCACCAAGGAAAACCACCATGGGGAATTTGCAAGCAGATGTCTGCTACTTCAGCAGGTGATAAACCTGGGAGTCATGCTTAGAAACATTGTGTGTGTGAATGTGAATCTACTTTCACTGCGGAGAACAAGATTTGGGGCTGGGAGCCAGACTGGGATACAGGCTCAGTTGGGACTAGCAGCCGTAGCAGAATCCAGGCTCAGCTGGAACAGGCCACAGCTCCTTTCTGGTGGAGGGTGCGGAGAGCTGTGTGGAGTGTCGCTGTGATAAAATAAATACACATTCTTATTATGTGGCCATAAAACCTTCAGCTCAATCAGCACTCTGCTCGCCCTCGGCCCACAAGCCAAGTCCATCCCTCATGGATGGAGCAGAGAAGCTCTTGCCTCCTGGTGGCCCATCCTGGTCCTCACACATCCTGACGAGAGCTTCCAGCAGACAAACAAACAGCTACTCGTCCTGCGGTCATTGAGCGATGGCAGCATGGTGGGAGGCCCCAGCTGGCTTGTGGCAGACCGATCACCGAGACAGCCGTGCCCCCGGAGCAATAAATCCCGTCAGGCAGCTGCATTCGGCGAACTTCAGTGCATCACAGCTGCTGGACCAGCACACATTCATCACGGCCTCCCCAGAGCACCAGCCTCTCACACAGGCCCAGGGAAGATCTATGGTGGGCAGCTGGTCAAGATCACACATATCCTGGGGGCTGGGCGGCTGGTATCCTAGTCCTCAAGGAAAAGTCTCAGTAGCTTATCGGTTCTTCTCCACTGGGTTCTAACTTTTCTGATATTAAAATTCCAGCAGCAGCTCAAAGCTTTTCACACACAGATTAAAATAAAGTGCAAGATGATTCTCTTTCCTCATGTCGTGGAGTGTCTGTGGGCCCAGACTCAAGGGCCTGTTAGAGCCAAGCTAATTATTACACTATAGCTAGATATGAAGGACACCTTTACCGTGGCATTACATCATGGTAATGTAACTTGTCAGACAGACAGGGGGCGCCACACTGCCCCGGGGTTTAAGTTCCCTGGCCCTGTTGACCATGATGGTATTTTGCTACAAGGTTGCCTCCCAGTGGAAAGCTGGTACATGCCCGGGAATGAACAGAGACAGGGATGGACTGTGGGGGCAGTAATTACATGATGAATGTCTAACGAGGGGGAGGTCAGAAGGTCAGTTTAATTAAAGTGTAGTGGCCCTCTAAAGGCAGGAGCGTGGCATGTTTGGGGATGGGCGGCACAAGCAGTCTACACTCCCCTTCATCAACAGTGTAACTAGAGCTGCGTTACGCACTCAGGGCGATGGGCACACTTAAAATGTCCGGGGCAGGGGGGGTGGTTGGATTCACCGGGACACTGTTCACTAGCGTTTTCCTGCTGCACAGACAATTAAACTGGTTTGTTGACACTGATTTAGTTCCTGACCAGGGTATAGAGAGATGCCCACTAGGAGAGATGCCTAATGAGAGAGACATTTTGTCTGCATTGTGAGAGATGACTACTGAGAGACATTAGATGTCCAACAAGAGGGATGTCCACTGAGACAGGTCTGCATTACGAGACGTCCGGAGACATTTTGTCTGCATTGTGAGAGATGACTACTGAGAGACATTAGATGTCCAACAAGAGGGATGTCCACTGAGGCAGGTCTGCATTACGAGACGTCCGGAGACATTTTGTCTGCATTGTGAAGATGTCCATTGAGAGACATTGTCTGCATTACGAGCGAAATGTCCAAGAGAGACAAAACACGGGGCTCACATTGATTTCTGAGCTCTTCGCAAAGCATCGCGGCCTGGTGCCGACCTCCTGTCCAAAAGCATAGCTCATAGCCTTGAGGCAAATTGTTGACTAATTAGAGCCAAGCCCAGGCGGCAGGCAAACCGGCATAACCGACCAATGTTCACTGAAGATGTCATCCCACTAGCACTAGAGCAAATCAGAGATTCAGGAATGCATCTCACATCTGGATCTGTGTGGTTTCTTGCACCCTTTTCGCATGTCTGCAGTGAGGCCCCATCTCCTCATAGTTTCCCACTTCCACCACTCAATGCTGTTCCCCTGTGTCAAACACGACCCTCCAATCCCTCTGCCATGTACATGGGTCTGACTCCACCGTGCTGAGGAGATAAATAGCCCAGGCAAAATGCCCAGATGGTGCATACAGGGAGAGACCATAGGTGTTCATCAGTCACTCAATGACCTTCTTCTGTGTTGGGCTCTGGGTTCAAGCCACAGTGCTACACTGTCACAGACTACACTTTACCTTGAGTCTCATGAGGTGTGGGGAGAGGGGTTCCTATCTCTACTCCTGACGTCTCAGCAAAGGCTGCAGTCCGTAAACAACCCCACCTGCCAAATATAACAGAATGATTAGAGACCAGGGGAAGATCTGGGAAAACCAGGACGCCCAAACGGACAGCAACCCAAAGACACTCCTATGTGTGCTGCATTGCCCCCAAGTGGTCTCCTCACTCACACAGTGCAGCTTTCCATCACCCACTCACAGTCCTTCCAGATGGTCGTATCACCTTAGTGATGCTGCTGTTTAGTTTTTTTTTAACAAAGCAGGAGCCCCTGACAGGCAATACTCCACTTGCAGAGCCAGTACCAGAATTGATTTTGCCCCCATCCAGGGTAATGAAACCGGCAGGGTTTGGTCAGGCCAGATGCGTGACAGGGCTCTTTGATTATCCACAAGCAGGAGACCCTCAGAGCCCCAGGAAAAGTCGGACAAGTCCAGTAGGAGGAGGAGAGAAGGACAGAGGCCTGCAGGGGCTGCCTGAGCAGCGAGACGCCAAGCACAACACAATCAACACATGCTAATAACTCACCATCAGCCACTGCTGGGGGGACAGGGTATGCAGAGCCCTCTACGGTGTGCTCTATATGGGTGGGTGCCATAAATGCCATGCCCTCCCAGGCACTGCCAGCCTGTCCACACAACCATGTGACATCAGTGCACTTCACGGCCAAAGAAATGCGGCAGTCAACCCTGAACCACCAGCAGCAAACCCTGGAGGGTAGCTTGATGGGTCAAGGAGGGGCAGTATATGAGGGGCACTGAGGAGTGGGGTGAACAACAGCAACCCCCCCCCCCCCCACACACACACACCACAGGCAAATTAGTGAATGAGAGCAGCTACACTGTGTAGACAAAGGGGGAGTCTAACCTGACTGGGTGCCAGAGCACAGAGGAGCAGCAGCCTGACCTACCATATCCTGTGTGGGTTGGCTCCTCTGCCCCCCTGAAGGGTCTGTGTTCCCTAAAGTGTCGTAAGACCCTTCTCCTGGTGATCAGCAAATTAATTTTTTAAAGTAGCAGAGCTCAGAAGAAAGGATGTCATTCTCTTCTTCAAGCACTTCAGATTTGACCTGTAGGGGGCGTCGCACCAGAAAATATGCAGCTTTCACTGATGGACACTGACAGCTCTGACACGCGCCTTGTCTCACAGCTGCCTGGCCCGTGCATCCCCCCCGAATCGAATACCCCCCCGGTGACAGCAGAAATTGAGAAAGTGACAAACAATGGAGAATCACAATGTCACGGTAACATGTGGTGGCAACCCTGTGTTATTACAAAATAACAGAGGTATTCTGGAATTAACTCCACTGGGCGAGTGACCAGTTCAGGGGGTGTCTGCCCTTCCTGATTGATGTAGGGCCTCTGACGCTGGACATGCTGTGACACTGGACATGCTGTCACTTCCCCTTCAATTAATAAAGAATCTGGCTGTGATCAGTGTCACCCAGAGAGCCTTTCGTGCCGCTCAGAACTTTTCCCGAGTTCACAAACTACACCGCAGTCCAGAACCCCACTCCAAAGACCTGTGTTGATTTCAATAGAGAAACCCACACATTTGTGCATGCCTCTTCATTTTAATATTTGCTGGCAAATAAAGGCCACTGATTGGCTTGGAAGCAAAGCGACATCATTAAAAACACTCCCACTGCCTCCTCCTTCCCGGGCAATAGGCTCTCCTCTGTCGGCTGGCTAATTAGAACAGACAGTTTGATCCTGTTCTTTTAGGCAAATGCCAATAATTCAAGAGTACCACCTATCCCATGTGATGCGATAATTAGACCACAGAAGGGAAACAAACAACCATCATTTAGAGGAGGATGAGATGATTGTGTAATCCAGGAATGGCAGCCATCAGCAAGGAGGATTCAGCAGTTTGGTATTCTTGAGGACCATTCCTCCTCTGAGTGCAGTGAAAACAGTATTTAGACGCCGCTGGAGCCTAAAATCACGTACACAAAACACTGTCCTGCTCTGCTCAGTGGGAGGGGCACCTCAACATCCTGTCCAATAAGAAATGCAAATGGGAGCCAGTCTCCAGTCATAATGTCATATTCACACAGGGGTGGGGTTTACAAAGGAAGCACTGAGAACATCACATAACAGTGTCCCCTGTGGGGCAAGTAAACAGAGATACTTAATAGCAAAGCTTAGTATATGACAGAGGTTTGACTCTCCACCCGCATGCCCTGACCGCTGACCCTGTAAACAAAATGAGTCACGGTGTGACACACTAGTTTTTAACAGACAGACAGAGCGGATCCAAATGGAGCCTGGAGCCATTGACCCCGCTTAGCCGCCCGGTAGCCGGAGTGCTTATTAATGGCCCTAAAACACCTCTTTCGGGGAGAATTTCTCTAATCTCCTGTTGAACTGAACTTTAAGAACACATTACGCAGCAATTAAGAGGAACAGCTGGGGCACTGGGGCAGGATTCCGGCTGTAATTAGCTGGGAAATGTCAGCCGATCATGCCAGAGGGATTTCCCTTATGACAGGCCAACTCAGGCCGCCAAGCTGGGCATGAGAGGGAGATGTTAAACCTCCACGCAGAGAGACGACTCTCTGAATGACGGAGCGGGGGGGGGCCTGTGCGAGCAGCTAAATCACAGGTGGAGCCGTTACAGAGGGGACATAAGGAGAACAGGAGCAGGACCTCAGCGATGCAGTGTCTCCTTAATAGTGCAGCAGTGTTGGGTGCACTCCTGCATTTCAGCCTCAGTCTGGGATGCCAGACAGCTGACCCACGTTAGCACAGCATGGCTCCTGACTGCACTCAGAAAGCGCCCAGGGACGGTCCCTTGTGTCCAAAAGGGACACTGCTGGACACGGCAGTCTAGCCTGGCTCCCAGTTTGGCACCAGGGAGTGAAGCTTACGGCCTGTCGGTCCGGACACACTTACACACTATGGATGGGGACGCCCTGAATTATTCATATTGAGCAGCTGAAGAAGGCCTTGCTATGGTGGCGGAGGAACAGCGCCCAAATTCCAGCGAACGCCTGGGGATGAAATGATATTTAAACAGACCCCCCACCTGGTAGCCCTGCCTCTAAAAGCTATGATAGCACATGGTAAACAGGACACGCGTATTTGCTGAAGGTTATTACCATGCCTGACAATGTTCCTTCAGGACTGAACCGTGTACCGTGTCCCAGTAGCAGTGTGTGACACCCCACCCATCTGGGGTAAGTTACCCAAGGGACATGAATGTGTGTCCAGAAACAAAAAGACTTTCTCTAATGCAAACCACACAAAGATCCCGCACTTTATACTGACAAGATGTTCAGGGACCACACAGCTCGCCTTCGTGAATGAAAAATGAAGGACATGCACCAGAAGGAGAATGTCAATTCGACGTGAGGGGATCACAGTGAAAGATGGTAGGGAAGCCATGCATATGATCAGAGGAATGGGGATCTTAGATTATAGGTGAGATCAGGATTCACATTAGTTTAGGATATCAGATTCTGGGATCTTAAATTCATTAAGTGTGATAAATGCCCCAATTTTCTGAGTAATATCTTTTGATTTTACACTGTCTGCACTGAATTTTTTTCACAAACTCTTCATATACTTCACTTGATTTAAACTAAGCAATCAAATTTATTATGTTGAAATGCTTCTTATCACACTGAGAATCTGTTCTAAAATAATTGATATATTAGTACAAGTCAAAATACAACGCGGAATCAGATTAGTATTTGAACGATTTTCAGTTGGAGAGAAAAGCAATTAATACGCGAACTACAACATGATATGGTCAGAGAGATAAACATAACTCGCACGCGAAGACAGCTATTCAAGTGAGCGACAGTGATGTCCCATTTGTGAATGAATTGTTATTTTTGAACTTGTTTTCAAATCTGAGTCAAACTTTATGTACATGCATCCACTGCACACGCCAAAGTCTTATATTATAAAAATATTTCACAAATCATCATATAACACAGCAACCTTTTTTATTCACTTACATTTGCTTTTTGTAGCTCCGTAGTGTTGCCTTCCGTGCCCCTCCACATACCATAATCCCTTGTATCTGTGCTGTGCGCATGTCCGGCCACATTGGAGCTGTGGCTCCCTACTCCAGTCTAATGGTGGCCAAAACAATGCTTCATGAACCCTTTGCTGTATTTTCTGACCACACTAGATGGTGCTCTCTGTGTAAAAATTACACAAAGCATGCCCCAAAGTAAACCAAGAGCACCATCTAGTGCGGTCAGAAAATACAGTAAATGGTTCATAATGCCTCCTTTTGGCCATCACTACTACCAACTCTCGACAATCGACAAGATAACGAGTTTGGCATGTTCGGTTTAAGCTGTTCAATTCTCGTGACCCATGAAAGTTATGATATAATTGATTAATGTCTTAGTATTATTTATTATTAAAAATGCATATACTTACATTACTGGCCACTGCAGGTATCACTGTTTTTTATTATTTAATTCATTTTGTTTTCCATAAGTTACTGAGTTTGGAATCGCAGTCCCCTAACCCCGCTTTTCGCCATTGGATATGTGTATCTTAATTAGTACGTGATTTTAGCGAAGGGCATGTCAGGAACACATTCGTTCCGTTGTAGCAGGACTGACTTGTAAATCCTCCTCCTGGAATGTTACCAGTGCCGTGTTTACAATATACAATTCTAACGTCGTTTTCGCTAACATTACAATAAGTACACACAACTGATTATTTCGTGCGCGGGTGTGCAAAGCAATATGGGTCACCATTGTAAAGGAAATTATCGGCGGTAAATATCGGCTAATTTTTAACCATCCGCCAATGGTTGGATATTTGTCAATTTGTATATCTGTTTATAATGTTAAATTTTATTTAGCCTCTTATCTTTAAATTCTGTTCATGTGTAGTAACAGGTGGGGAGTGTGAGCAGGGCCACGAGGGAGCGCGAGATAACGAGAGAGATATCGGTAAGAAAATTTATCTGAAAATTAATAACTGCCTTTGATGCTATTTTAGACGTAAATTTACCAACATCAAATACGGATGGTTAACAGAAATACAAGAATACATCTCAGTGTCTCCTCTATTTATAGCGGAAACACTGCAAATGATTACAGTGTTTTTAGAATTATAGAGAACTTTTACAGGTGTAATACCTGGAAACGGTCAAAGTGGTGTCATTCTGAGGTAATAGCGACTGTGCGCCGACTTGCCAGCTACTTGCTAACAAGGCAAAGACACTTTTAGAAGTACCTGGCCACGACCGCGGACCAGCACTGCCACAACTCCTGGGAGTTTCGGCGGAGGAGTGGGATCCTCCGGACCATCGACCGGCTCGGGGTGTCCCCGTCCGGCAGGCAACCAGAATAATATTCTCTATAAAGAAAGAAGTACCTACTTATCTACGAAATTGTGTTTTTTAGATGTGGCCATACGATTCGTTCTAAAACGAGTGGTATTCGTGGTAGTGTGGAAAATGTGCTTCGGTACGCAGTAATTCCTGATTTATACTCACATAGCACACATACGTCTGCCCGACATACTCAAGTTACTTCTAAAATGTATAGTACTTAATGACAGCCGGCGCTAGTAGTAATTACAAACGAGTAATTATCTCAGATTATAGCGTCGGCTGCAAATTAAAAAATGCCCTCACACAGAAGTCTTGCCAATTAGCAAACGAGTTAACTCTTCCATATTCTTTGGTTGTCTTCTGTATATGGCTCTCTGCAAGTCATTCCACAGGTGGATTTTGTTCTTCTGAAACCATTGTGCTGTGGATTTGCTGCGGTGTTTGGGGTCATTGTCCTGTCCCATCACCCAGCCTCACATTCACATTATCCTGGATAAATTGTTTATAAACTTGGGAATTCATTTTCCTCTCAATGATGGCAAGCTGTCCAGGTCCTGACACAGCAAAGCAGACCCAAATCATGATGTTCCCTTTACCATACTTTACTGTAAGGATTATGTTTTGATGTTGATATGTAGTGCCCTTTTTACGCCAAATGAAGTTCTGCTTGTTCCTCCCAAATAGTTCAATTTTGGTTACATCACTCCAGGAAACATTTTCCCAGTACTGTTGTGGAGTGTCCAAGTGCTCTACTGCAAACTTCAGGTATGCAGCAATGTTCTCCTTGACAACAGTGACTTCCTCCTTGGTGTCCTGCCATGGACTCCTTTCTTCTTCAGTGTGTTGTGTATTTTTGAATCATGAACAGTGATGTTACCCAGTTCTAATGACTTCCTCATGTCATTCGCTGTAACTCTAGGGTTCTTCTTTACCTCATTGATGACTTTGCATTGTACGCTTGGGGTCATCTTGATAGGACAACCACTTCTAGGCAGAGTAGCCATAATACCAAATTGTCTTCATTTATAGACAACTTGCCTAATAGTAGACTGATGAATCTCTAAAATATCTGAGATGACTTTGTAACCCTTTCCAGCCTTATGTAAATGAACAATTCTTGATCGTAGCTCTTTTGTGCAAGGCTGCATGATTCCCATCTGGATATGCTTCTTTTGAAAAGCTCAAACTCAAACTTTTCAGTTTTTCATCAGTCACAGTAATTCTAGGCCACACCTCTGACCTCTTTTCATTAAATGGACTCCTGGTTCTGACTGCAATGAGCTTTTTTAAAAGTCATTAGCTTAGGGTTCACTTACTTTTTCCAACCTTCAGTTTCACAGTTTGAATGAATTATTCAATATGATCAAAAATTCTCTGGAAATATGTGTATTTTTAGTTATAAGAGACTGTGTTTGTTCATTATTGTGATGACCATGTTTTATATGGGAATTACACATGAATATAGTAAATTCCAACGGGTTCACAAGCTTTTTACTTTGACTGTGTGTGTGTGTGTATATATATATATATATACACTCACCTAAAGGATTATTAGGAACACCAACCTAATACGGTGTTTGACCCCCTTTCGCCTTCAGAACTGCCTTAATTCTACGTGGCATTGATTCAACAAGGTGCTGAAA